ATCCTTACTTTTGCTTTCATCGAAAGAAGGCACATCGGCTGACTGGCTTCCCGAAGGCTTTCACCAGCCTGCGTCATTTCACTTCCCCGATTCCAGCGAAAAGTAAGGCTATTGCTTATGTTTTTAGAATTTTTAATATATTTATTCGTTGAAGTTTCTGTAGCGATTTGGTTGTTTTACAGGGGTGGAGTTGCTAGCACCACGCCCCAACCCTCCCTCTTTACCCGAGCTTGGGACCGGCGAGAAAACTAGTAAGCTAGTAGCCTAGCAAGCTAGTATCTGGCGAGGTTTAGTGAATATGGTCCATCTTTATTGGGATTAAAAGCCCTTAGATTGTTAAATGTCGAAATCTCACTTTGTACTGAGTTGTTTGATGAATCTTTGTTCAGAGAATTACTTCTTCAATGCTCAAAGAGTGTAGGTGGCATGAAGATTCACTCCATCCATCTTGAAATAGAGGGTGATCCTATCTTCCTGAAACGCCGATTAATTCCATATGGATTGCGAGATGCAGTTAAGAAAGAGTTAGACAAGTTGGTTGAGCAAGGCATACTTATGCCAGTTGAGTCTTCAAATTGAGCTACTCCTATTGTTACGCCATTAAAGGCTGATGGAAAAACACCTAGAATTTGTGGTGACTACCGCCTTACACTCAATAGTCGTCTACTACAGCAAAGTTGCACTACTCTAGAAACTGAAGACATTCTCTACAAGCTAAATGGCTCAAGATACTTTTCCAAAATAGATCTAGAAGATGCCTATTTGCAAATCCCTCTTGATGAGGCGTCTAATGCATTAACAACCATTAATACTCCATTTGGATCGTTCAAGTCTATCTATGGTCGGCCTGCGAATTTCGGGCTACCGATATCCACGCTGAAAATTCCGTACTTGTACCAAAAATACGGTGTGGAATCAAGCTGCAATCAAAAATAACAAAATAAATAAAATAAGTATAAGTTCTTGCCTTTTGGTTTAAAGGTTTCACCCGCAATATTTCAAAATGTAATAAATCAGATGATAGATGGATCAGATGGTGTTGAGTCATACCAAGACGACATTACAGTTCATGGTCCTAATATCGAATTGCATAATGAACGTCTTTTAAAACTGTTCAGGCGTTTATGTGAGAATAATGTTCTTGTTAATCCATCTAAATGTCATTTCACTTTGTCGTCTGTATCATGCCTGGGATACACAGTAGACTCCGAAGGTTTCAGACCTGATGCTAGTCGTTTGGCACCTCTAATTCAAGCACCGTCACCTAATAATATGTCATCGTTGAGATCATGGATAGGTACTCTTCAGTTTTACTCCAGATTCATTCCCAACTTCACTCAACGGTTATCTCCACTTTTTGAGATTGTCTCCAGTAAACAGTGTAAGTGGGAACAACAACATGAGAATATCTTGCGAAAAACTTTGGAGTTTCTTAATAAACAAGCTTTCCTAAGACCTTTTTGTCGAAAGATAAGTCTGTTCTCACTACAGATGCTTCTCCTATGGATATAGCTGCAGTACTTGAGCAAAATGGACAACCTGTTATTTGTATTTCAAGACGTCTAAGTAAGAGTGAACAAGGGTACTCACAAACCCAGAAAGAAGCTCTAGCAGTTGTATGGGTAATAAGACGCTTGAACAAGTATCTCTTTGGTACTAAGTTTCACATAGTTACTGAATATCAAGCTTTGAAATTCATTTACAATCCAGAAAAATTTTTGAATAAATCATCTGCTGCTATGGTTCAAAGATGGAGTTTAGAACTAAGTGCATATGATTACACTATTGAACATAGATCGGCAAAGGATATACCTCATGCAGACTTCTTATCTCGTTATTCATTATTTGAAAATGCTGCTAATGATACTGATTTCTTGTTAGTCCAGCCGTTACCAGTGGATCGAGTTCGACTTATAAATGATACTCGGAAATATTACGGATGCGTTATAAATACAACAAAAAGAGGTTGGAATGTTCAGTGTAAGCGAAGATTTCCAGGCTTTTATAAGCGAAGAGATGAGATTTCAGTCCATCCTGAAGGATTTCTATGTCTGAATGATAGAATTATTATTCTTCCAACATTAAGATCTGCGATTTTGGATGATCTACATTCTGCTCATTTAGGAGCTGATAAGATGAAATCATTAGCACGCCTAACATGCTGGTGGCCGGAAACTGATCCAGACATTAACAAAAGATCAAAGAGCCGTTCTAGCTGTTTACATAAAATGTCCTATGGGAAGTCATCTTGGACACCGTGGCCTGCATCTTGTGAGGCTTGGCAGCGTATTCATGCAGATTACTGTGGTCCATTCTTAAATTCATATTATGCTTTAGTTATTGTGGATTCTTATTCTAGATGGCCAGAAGTCATCATTACAGAAAGTCCTAATGCCAAATTCACTCACAGAGCGTTGAGAAAGATTTTTAGTCGAGAAAGAATTCCAGATGTCTTAGTTGCTGACAATGGTACTCATTTTACGGAGAAGAACTTCAATGATTGGTTCAAACATACAGGTTGTCGTCATTTGTACACAGCACCACGTCATTCTCAGTCAAACGGGTTGGCAGAAAATTTTGTACGAACATTAAAGAGTGCTATAGCATCAATGGGTCCTAAAAATCTTGATGAGCTAGAGAGATGTGTGGATAACTTCTTACTTCAATATCGCAATGCGGAGCATACAAGTACTCATGAAAGTCCTGCAAAACTATTCAAATCTCGAATTCTCAGAAATCATCTGATGTCCACGACTTCTGATGTACATTATTACAGAGGGAATGATTATAGACCTATTGGTATCATACTAAAAAGAATGGGAAATCGAATGGTGAAGATATTAGACATTGAAGATAATTCAGTTCATAACAGACACTTGGATCAAGTGAGAATAAATGAGGTAGGTCGCTCCGATTATGATTATAATGACTCCGCTACTAATCCTGGCTTTGTAGATAATTCAGAAATAAGTCTAGATGATACTGATGGAAATAATATCACAGAATCAGTTAGAAGATCGCAGAGACTGGCAAGCAAACCGCGATATCATATATACGCAAGGGGACATTCGACGTGTGGCGGATGTGGTGATTGACTATTTCTATCTCTGTATTGTTTAAATACTTACTGTTGATTGTTAATATTTCTTATATGAATTGCATTAGAATTCCGCTAAATACAAATTCCTGAATTCCGCCCTCTGTGTTTTGTTTGGATTCTTGTAATTCGGTTATCTCGAAATACTAATACTACGATTACAATTAATTACATTATCCAATGCAGAAATAGCGGGATATAAAGAACTCAGAGTATCATGTATAATAATAATGTCACTAGCTTACACAGTGCAGGATTTTATGTACTAGGCGGTGGGTCAAACAGTTAACGTATACAGGCGTAAGATACCAGCTGTTTACCCATTCTAAAGTATGTGGAGGTAGATTTGACTTCACTCGATAAAAAAGACTGAAAGTCAAATGATTATGAAATAATAGAAAAGATTTGTAACTCAGGTGGATGATTTGGAATTGATAGTGTTCTCTGAGCTCCTTGGTTTAATTGCGCTGAAGATGTCGTCCAGAAAGACGATGAAAGCTCCGCAATTAAACCAAGGAGCTCAGAGAACACTATCAATTCCAAGTCAAATGATTAGTCAGGATCACGCTATCACAATGGTATGGTATAAACTTAAATATTGGTACTTCTGTATGAAGAGCGTACTGTTAGCTTTTAATTGCAGAGCACTCAAACACACACATTAATAATTAGGTGCCACTGATAACAATAATTCTCATTAAACCAAATAATAATAACCACGAACGACATCTGACTAACTGGTTTCAACATAGCACTTTGAGCAGATGTGCAGCAGTTCGAGTTGCCACACTTCCTCCATGTAGCACACAGAGCAAGAGAAGAGGGTAGAGATTCAAAGAAGAGATAGTAAAGAGAAACATGAGGCAAAAACAATAGTAATATGGCAGAACAATAGAGTTTTATTGGATATTATAAGTCACAAGGAGTGAATGCATCTGCACTATGCATTGAGAAAGATTTTGAGCCATATCATGAAATGTCTCCAGCCTTCACAGGTTCTTAGTATCCTGAGGACCCCAACCAGCCAAAAAGTGTACACGTCCCTACGTGGCTGGCTGGTTGGCTTAAACTAACTGTTATGGATTTGACTGAGTGATGAAGCCATGTTTTGGTTTGACCACTGCTGGTTATTTTCCTTCATTTAATGCCGGCTAACATTCCCCATCAACGAAAGTGATTGATGGCTAAAAATGAATGCGTAACACATGTCCTAACCATCTCAATCGATGTTGCCTCACAACCTAATAGAATGACTTGCCCTCCCTACTGAACACTCGACACCCAATCTCAACATTACTCACCCTATTATGCCACGTAACACAGGAGATAGAAGGGAGATAGCTATGGTTACAGACAGCTAGCCTTTTCATATCTTCCACTTTCAATTGACATGTTTCGCAGCCAGCCATGAAGGAGGATGGAGTGGACTGCTAAGAATTACACGCGTCATTTGGTCGACAGCCAGCCGGATATCATATCTTCGCTAGAGACGGGCCTTCTCTATTCGTGCCAAGATTTCGTCAGCGCCCAGCCCGTTGGCGTTAGGTGATGCATCTCCCAAAATAAATGAAGTAGTCAAAACACTCTACTGCTTCACACTTGTCTGTCTTTAAGCTTGGTGTCAATGTAGTCCAGTCGAGTAGCAAGATCTTACATTTGACGGGAGCCAATCGCATGCCAAACATTCGAAGACTGCTACTCAAGGTGTTCCACAAGACTCTGCATTTTGTCAGGGTGTTCACCTAGGAGAGAGGACTATATCATCTGCATATTTTGAGTCAACGAGATTATAGTCTGGTAACAAGTCGATCCCTGAGTCCCTGAAGTCAGTTAGAGTTAAGTCGATTAGTACATCTATGCTGATATTAAACAAAAATGGTGACATCAAAACACAAGGACATACCCGCCAAAATAAACCACTCTTTCGCGTTTTGATGTTTCACCATATAAATCAGCGATCATATCCGAGTTTACATCACATACCAATGGTTGAGAGGCAAAAGTGTCCACGAGTTGAGGTGAACCTATATAAATAAATATCAGATATAATTCGTCACTGATTCTAAAAAATATGAAAATAATTTCAAGTAAATAGTTAATACTAAACTTCAGAAATGGGGAATGTAATCTATTCACTTAAGCATTCAACTTCCTGGTAGTGAAAAGTGAATTCACACTCCACCTTACCCATTTTGACTACAGAGGTCAGTAAAAAAAACAGGCCTTTGTAAGGTATTTTATTATTAATTCATATTTCATTTTTCCTGTTGATTGATTGTCGACAAGTTGGCTCCTTGTGAGGATGCTTCGACGATTTCTGACGATTAACTTGTTCCGTATGTTTGTTAAAAGTTTTGCAGAATGAAAATACTGAACTGAAGTGCAGATGAATACGGACTAGAAATTTAATAAAAATATCAGCAAAAAGTTTAACAGTCATGAGTAAATAGACGATCGGTAGATTGGGAAATCTTGTACATATTACTGCTTACAGTTGCCTGCATAAGTCCTTATTCATCACCAGATTTGAGTCGTTTGTAGGTGCGTAGCATTATGTGATAGTAACTTCTCTACCTTTTCAGTTGAGTCTTTTTGTCATAACCCTGGAGGAGAATGGTTCCCTATTATAAAACGGCGCCTCCAATGATGTCGGTGACATACTGACAGCCACAAAATCAGATTGCTTCGGGGTTACCGTCCAGGTGACCGGAATAGATTATTGACTCGCCAGTTAATAAACTACAGAGTTTTCTTCCAGCCCATATGCTCTTATAAATTGGTAATACTTTTCTACCGTATCTTGTCATTTCTTTCACAATCTAAATAGCCTTTCAAGCCAACCTAAAACATGGTGCTTTTGCTTTCACTCAAAGTAGACACATACCCTAACTGGCTACCCGAACTCTCGCACCCAATGACATCATCCTTCCTTGAATTGAGGAATCTTTCCTATTCTAGAGGAAAATAAGTTTAAACCTCCTATGCTTTGAATTTTCATGGCAATGGAGTCGTTTTCTTCACGGAGTGAGATTGTTAGTTAGTCTTATGCCCAGCTTTCCCTGATTTCCAGGCTTAGGACTGAATGGTAGACCAAGGAATTTACTATGAATAGTATCTTCTCATTAATTATCAACGGGGCGTCGGTGGCATGGCGGTTAGGACGCTCACCGACCATGCACATGGTCCGGGGTTCGATCCCCGGCCACCGACGCACTCCTTTACCCCGCTAAGCCAAAAATAATGCTGGTAAAGAGCAAAGGTTGGGCATGAGGCTAGAAACCCCATCGTGTAAAATAAACACTGCACAAGAAACTTCAAGCCACACTAGCTTGAAGCCCTACATTCCACTGGGGAAAGTGAAGGAAAGAAAAAAATTATCAACGGGAATTTAAATAGTAATTATCAACTTTTAATTCCCCATATTTGTTGTTGTTGATGACATGCAAAAAGTGCACTGAAATACTGGTAAGTTTCAAAACTTTGTTTAAGAACTGCCGTTTAGTAATATATAATATTGGCCAAACTAAACTCATTTACAAAATTCAAAAGTATATCTGTGGCTGAATAAAATATCATACACACAGAACCACGGATTTAAAACCACATAATCTACTTTTAAAAGCTTTGTAAAGCAATAAAATTGCTTAAAATGCACATTTTTAGTGGTTACTGACAACAGGAATAAAATTAATTCATAATGCTACCAATACGTTATTAACTTACCGAATTTTCCACGATTTTCACCTTTTAAACCGTAAGCAATATAAGTATCGAAAGGGCCAGTAACAGAATCAGAAGTAATCAATAACAGATCAACTCGAGAATCTCCGTCAAAATCAGCAGTGGCGACACTGCGAATAGTCTTCGGTAAGACGTTACCCATTATTTCAACAGGTGGAGCAAAATTAATACTACTTTGAGTTGTTGAAGCAAATTGAAAGCCTTTAGCGCTTGGTTGGATAACAGCGAATAACTTTGTACCATCATTATTAGCGAATATAATATCCATTCGACGATCAGCATTCAAGTCTGTAAATGCAGCTAGTTGGAAGTCGGGCCATGCATTTATCTGCTGGAATGAACCTATTGGATTATTCGTTATAGCAATATTCTTATCAGCATTCACCAAACTGAACAACAGTAATACACAGAGGCCGTTGAAAAACAATTGAGGAGTACGACTAAATCTCATCGTCATATAAGGCAAGATACGTTGTTTCATGCTCAAAATTTTAATGAACCTAAAATAGAAATTTTAATAAAGGCATGCTGAATCGATGTATAAGGTAATAAAATTTAAATTTATTTACCAATCCAATCATCCGATAAATGCATTGAAAAGACAAAGCATTTCAGTTGTTGAGTGAGCTACAAATTTATATCCCCTAACTAACATTTCACCTAAAAAATATAGTTAATCTTTGTTATTCTAATTCACCTTAGGCATCGAGACGCTCAAATACAGTCACCTTAGTAGGTGATTTTAATCCTCCAATAGAGATGAGCCAGTCCGAAAATTACATTAAGGGTGGTGGTGTCTATGGAGCCTTATGCCGATGGACGTCAAAAACAAAACGCTGAGAATCTCCCATGTGTCTGTCTACTCAATAAGAACATGAAGTTTCTATTTAAGACATGGATAGGTAAACCATACCTGAGTATGACGTTAATGCTGATCCCTAGATAGCCTGATATCATAACAATCTTCTGCACAGCCTTCAAAGACGATTAAGTCAGTGAACAAGATTTTCTTAGTCGAATTGTCCCTTACGCTCTGTACAAACATTGGTATGGACTGATAATAAATTGCAATTTTATCTTTATGATGTTATTAACATTCTACCTGTTTCGAACTGAGTTGTTTGTAAGACGACATGCTGAAGAGACTTTTACTTACTTCATTTAAGTCAAATATTTTATATATATATTTTTTATATCTCATGAGAGCTAACTGACCAATCTAGTCAAAGTAGGTGAGGTAGAGTGCGAATTCACTTTTCCCTACTAAGATGCCTAAGCCAACAAATTACATTTCCCGCTTCAAACGTTTCATCTTTAGTTTTCTTATTCCTTTCGTCAGTTTCGAAAGGCGGATCAATTGGGGTATACTGCAGCCATCCTTTAACTTTGTGTAGAAATCAGGTCCTACAACTGTAGTTGAGGTTGATAACCTGTTTAATCTAAAACAAAGTAATGCAGTGGGGTTTAAAGACGTGACTCTAGAGTTTTTTGAGGATTATCATGCATTATTAAATAAGTTTGCTGTGGCGTAAGCTAACGCTTGGGATTCCGAAATTGTTCCAACAGACTGGTAAGAATCGCAGAAAATGAATCTTCCGGTGATTTATCACGCGAAAATAGGTTTGATTAACATAGTATTTGAGATTATAGGTTCCACAGTTCTGGGAGGACTAAGTGGGCCTCGATAAAAAGACCAGATAAAGGCGGACTGGAAGGTGTATGTTCGGCTTGCAATTGGTCCCTTTCAAGAGTAAAGTAGTGCTGCAGGATTGGTCTACACAGACTCCAAATTTACGGGTAGAGGGTGAAGCGGTTGAATATAAGGATCACTTTCATTATTTGGAATGTTGTATTAGGTAGGATGAGCCGTTTGCTGATGGAACTCCTGCATGGATACAAAAGGCGCTTGTGTCATTGGTTAACTTGCGCCATTTCTGATGCAGGCGTGATATCCGGCTATCGGACAAAAAAATGTATACTAAGCGGCACCAGCTTCATTCTACTTTATGGCTGTAGGACGTGGTCATTGAGAGAAGATATGAAAGGGCAAAACATCTTTGACTATAGGCTTCTGTGTTCAATGTTAGATGGTATAATGTAGTCCCTAATAATGAGCAGGGAAATTCAATCGATGAAGTTGTGAAGCAGCAACCCATTGGGATGGCTAAGGTACATGTTAGGAGATGCAAGCCACGCCCTTTTTCTCCAAGTGATGTTAGATGAAAAAGGTATAGGTTGGGTGAGATTTTGGGGTGTTCGAAGCAAAGCATGACACCAATCCATGAAACTGTCGACTGTGTGTTTTAGTCATGTACGGAGGAGCAGACAGTCTGGCTGGAATCATCTGGATTGTAAACGTCAACGGTTGTAGACAGAAGACAACATGTCTCAAAATCAGGTGTGTGAAGGGAAATACCATCTCATTTGTCCAACATACTAGCGCACCATAATGGTAAATACCTCTTAACTAACTGCATAACGACACATATCAGTACAGTCACCCTCTCCGGAAAAGATATCATGAGAAAAAAGCTTAGTAATACAATATTCAAATTACAAAAAGACACAGCGCGCATTATTTAACCCCCTGATGCGTGAAACTGAAAACAACCAAAAACGAGATTACATTCTTTACTAATTAAGATGAGACTCATGTGTTGACCAACTTAATGAGTAAGTGAGCTTCCACCTCACCTTTAATCATCACTTTACCATAATACAGATTAGTCTGTCAAACTGAGATTATCTCAAATAGCTGCATCAAAAAAATATCACAAGTCAATCATTCACTGTGATATCATACAGACGTAAATCAAAACACAAGTTGCTTTCAGAACAACTTAATTCCATAGTATAAAATTACTTTATTTGTTACGAACAATTATCATAAAATCTTATTGTGTTATTGAAAAAAGACGACATTTTTATTAGTACACTATTATAACTCCAGATTAGAAGAAGGAGAGGAAGTAGACGAAACTATCATATACACAACACTGCAAATATACAAAATAGCACCGATGAGAATATCTTACTGGATACACCATTAAAAAATGACTCTTTTTGAAAAAGGACAAACCATCTAAACAATTCACAGCAGGACGTACATAACAATTTGAAAGAGATGACAATATCACAATCAGCATTATTATTACATACAATCAAATAACAGTACTCTTATTCTTTTAAAGTTCTCGATAACACATAACTGATAACAATCACAAGAAAACTGATAGAAAATACAGTTTTCCGATGTTCCATTAATCCACATAACATTAGTTGAGTTGTAGACTTTTTCGAAATTTGACGAATAGGAGTAGGTGGATTATTTAAATTTCTTTGTTCACGATACCTAATAATTCGTTTGTTACCCCGTTCATTCAACTCAGCTGGACCTAGATCAATGTAGATTTTCAAAGCTTCATGAATAAGATCTTCTACTGGATGAATTTTAGGCAGGCGTGCAAGTGTCTGGTAGAGTAGAGCGAAATCTAATGGAGTCGCCTCAACTTCTTTAGCACTAATGGCAATTATCTAAAAGTTAAGTATAATACACAAACTGTGGAAGAAATTATTATAAGCAGAAGAAAGGGGATATCTCGAAAATAAATTAAGTTGATAACATTGGACTAACAAAAAAATCCATCCATACGCACATTTCTTTACACAAAAGATAATCACCTAAGATAATGCTCCTTTATACATCTAAAACTTTAACGTTGGTATTCCAGAAAGTACATTTCTCATCCACTTTCATACACAGCTTCATATGCACTTTGATGAAGAAAATTTAATATAGTATCATAATGCCGCGCGAACGGGGAATATCTCAACCATAAGTCTTACAGATGCTGATCAACTCACCACAAATACAAATCAAGCCATACTATAAACACGTGTTGAAGCTGTCGGGATGAACTGACCCCTGTTGTATAGCAGCACAATAGACGTTCAGTGGACAAATGGAGAGATTTCAAGACATTCGAAATTTGGTCAGCCATAAACACCACGTGGCCGAAGGCTTTTAGGACAACCAACCATTTTATTGTTAAATTCGTTGAGTTGAATACCTGAACACGTATAAGATGTTGCATAAAACGCCTAAAAGGCTCTAAATCTAATATTCATCTTCCCTTGATAACCCTATTTCAGATGCATACTTCAACCCAGGATTTCAAGAAACTAATCGATAGATTTGATTTCTGTGTGGTTGACATAAAAAGGATTTTTCCTTTATATATTGACGATTACAATAATTAGTGCATTGTAACAGTAATACTTCGAGCGTCGGTGGCGTACTGGTAGAATGCTCGCCGAAGTTCGATCCCCGTCGGACGCCCTCCTTTACCTCGCTAAGCCAGTAACAAGACCGGTAAAGAGGAAAGATTAGGCATGAGGCTTGTAACCTCATCCTGTAAAAATAAACACCACTGCTACCTAAACTTCAAGGCTCTAGCCTGAAGCCCTATTTTCCACTGGGAACGTAAAGGAATAAAAAATAGGAATACTTCAGCTAAATTGTGAGTCAGCTTAACTAGTAATCATAAATGCTTTTAGTACTGGTTCACTAACATCTACTGTCCATCGTCGTTTCATGCTAATTTAAAGTAACAGGAATTAAAACAGCTAGAAAGTTTCGATCAATACCTACCTTATTCACAGATAAAAAAACAACTGGAGACTAATATATATATATATATATATATATATATATATATATATATATATATATATATATATATATATATATATATATATATATAAACTCCGACTTACAGCGACGGAAACGTAAACCAACATGATAGGGTCTGTAGCCAGAAACAAATCAAACAAACGTCTAACGTCATCCATATTTGGTAAGACATGTGCAAACCAGGTGATGATCCAGGAGACAGCGAAATCCGGTCCCAATTCAACAGATTCAATACTATTTAATATGGGAGTTGATACACATTCTAACAAGGCGAAAATCAATTGCATATACTCCAGGGTAACGTCCATAGATTTTTGCATAAATAAACTATATAAAAGGATATTTTAAAAAAAATATTTCGAATGAACGACAAGCGATTGAATTTACTTAGGGTACAATTAAAAAAAATTACACAGACAGGCACTTGAAGACATTTTTAGGGAACAGCCGAAGTAAACCTTAATATGAAAGCTGTCATACACTCTAATATCGCTAATAAAAAGTAGCATAGTACTAACAAGGTAAATACCCTGATTACCATTCATCTATAGTCGCACAAATTCTACGATGGAACTTTTCATTTTGTCTTAACGCGTAGAAATAAGGTTAGTGTGTGAACCCAAACTAATAGACGTGAGAAAGACACATTTTCAAATTCGCACTAATCATCTCACCTACAGTAGATACTTGCTGGGTTGATTAGTTTAGTGACTTTAACTTGATTTCTCTAATTGCCCATCTGGGGCACTTGCTCGTTAATCTCATTTAGAGCCACACGTTACTGTAATTCTTGATGAACACGCTCAAATACTTAAATAAACGGTTTGTGTAAGACCTGATAAACGTCATGATGGGAGTTTAAGTGGTTCACAGTTTTATACAACTGTACGAATTTCCCGTTTACGGTAGTAAAAACACTTAATAAAAGAAAAAAGAGTTTGACAGAAAATTAACACTGACGTACACCATTGGAAAATATACACAATGTGTTCAAAATATATTTCATTGGCTTTGACACATAGATGCAAGTCCCACTCCCCCTGCTCAAATTTGGACGACTTGGACAGGTAGCTAGCCCATAGACTTGCCTAAATAACTGAGTTATAAATAACCAGATTTAAAGAAGTATGAAAAATCCACGTGACAACACTATGACAACATAATAGATTTCAAACTCCATACACTGGGGTTTAAACGTTTCACAAAGTATAGCTAGAGAAGTTTACACTTTGACAAGCACTGGCAACAAACAACGAATCATATGATTGTGGTTTGAGTTTAGTTGATCGGACCATCTTATCGTTTTGGTGGTAAGGTCTGGCCTTTTGCTTTATCTTCTACACGTGCCCACAAATAAGGTGCTGTACAAGTTGCAGTTTTTGAAGCACAAAACAAAACTCATCTTATCTTGCTATTATACTTGACCTATGGTTCAGGCAATAGCAAAAAAATAGCAATTGCTCTTAAAAAATCCTCTCAGAAGTCTCAATTAAGGGAAGGAAAAACAGCAGAAATGTGGAAAAATTCTTCGGTTAGTAATATAAAACCTTATGGTGAAAGAAAGTGGGAATATATTCCTTAAATGAACAAGTTTCCCTAAAATTATTTTTTTTACTACAGCTTGATTTCACACCGTATTTTTTGGTACAGCTATGGGGAATTTTCAGCATGTGATATCGGTAACCCTAAGTTTTCAGGCTAACCATAGATATCAGGTGTGCGTCGGCAGGGGATCGAACCCCGGACCATGTGCATGGTCGGCGAGAGTCCTAACCACTGTGCCACCGACACAAAGATACAGAAAAAAAAACTAATCCTATCGGTATTGCTACTGTTATTATCATCCCACTGGCAGTTTGGTATCTTATTTCACGATGAGGTTTTAGTATCAACCTTTTTATCACTTGAATTTTCTTCTCTAATGTCATCATATGTAAAAAAAGCAACTACTACAAAAAATTAAATTTGATTTAAGCAATAAAAACAGAGCAAAAATCAATGAATAAATGCATACATAAGAAAATCTGTCTGCCTACAGGATCAATTGCTTTTTTAAGAAAAAAAATATATATTCACCTGAAATGAGTCGGGACAAGTTTATTAAGCAGTTGGCGAGATTCTTTTTCACCGAGAACAGAAAAAAATATGTAACATATATCATGGAAGCCCTTTGAAATAAATTTAAAGTGAGAGAAATGATAAGCAAGTGTAAAAAACAAGTTAAGTTAACAAGAAAATATTTTAAAAATCCAATGAGTATATGTTTAACAATAATGTACAAATGCATGTACCAGTGTACCACACTTACTGTTCAAAGTTCACTGACTCTGTGGGAGTGTTAATTGCATTTTCAACATTAAACCTGTTCTATGAAATCTGGCTGTACTGCGGAATATGCTAGAAATTTAAAGTCTACCTACCTCAGTTATGACTTTAAACGTGAAAATATTCGGAATACGAACAACCCACCTACCTATTCAAGCAACCTCGCCTGAAATCTTTAAACAGCACTAGTCAGAAGGAAAGCAAGCTAAAAAACATGCTTAATTGGCTGAACTACTTTCGGTCACTATTTTTCCCCAGAAACAAAAGTGGTCGACCTGTGGTAGTGATCGTCAAATATGTAACCAAACTACAAGGCCTGAGGGGGGAATCCAGATAGAGTTGGTATTGATCCCGCTGTACACACCTCCATAGAGAAACTGGAATTCGATTCTGTGATTCTCAACCTTAAAGTTGAATTTCTAAGTCAACGAAATAAAATTCATCGTCACATTCTAAAAGTATTGTGAATGGAAAATTAGTACAATTCTTACTTAATAAGTCAAATCAGATTCACCTGCAAGTCATTATGCATTTCACGGTCATTTGTACATGGAAACGCACGATACACAGAAAAATAAACCTGGTTAGTCAATCAAACAATAACTTAGCAGACACTTGCAACAGCACAAGTTGTAACACTTCGAATAAGCACACAAAAGAAAATAGAAATGTAACTATGCTACAACCAACATCGGTATATAGAAGGATAATTCAATAAAACAAAGTGAAGGCTTTTGGGGGTGAATAGCTTGTGTCATAGTGAACGGCAATCCCCAATGATTTAAGTGTTTGGGGAACCTCAGTCGAGAAGCCCTTATCTACGCATGACACTCGGACCAATATCTAGTGGACCGGTACTATGCGTCAATGTGACCACCACCTTCAACTATTTTGAAACAAACATATTTCAGCTAACATTTGTAGCTGAGAAACATAGTAGCTCAACACATATAACGGATGATCCAGTCAATAAAGATATTAAATAACAACCAATCACGACATTTGTTGTGAGGAGATACTGTCTGTTTTCGACATAGAACATTGCACTGATGTGCGGCAGTTCAAGTCGCTACACTCCATGTAGCACAAAGCAAGACAAGAAGGTAGAAGAAATGCATAATAGAGACAGTAAACAGAGGTGTGAGACAAAGAAATAGAAGAATAATGTAGTTTCATCGCAAATCATAGGTTACAAGGAGTGGATGCGTCTGCGCTGAGCATTGAGAACGATTTTGAGCCATGTCACCAATTGTTTCCAACCATTGGTTTTTACCGTCCCGAGGACCCCAACCAGGAAGTCTACACCTCCCTACGTGGCTGAGACTACCTGTTGCAGATTTCATTGACTGGTGCCATCTTTTGGTTTGACCTCCGCTAGCTCTTTTCCAGCCCGACCCTATGTCAGCTAACATCGCCCGTCGAGGAAGGCGATGACTAGGCATACGTAACACATGTCCTAACCATCTCAGTCGATGTAATTTCACAACTATACAACTATACCATTCAAATAAATTGACAGTGAATATGATACTGGAAATTTGTGAAGTGCACCGATAGTTCTTGTCACAGGATATGACTATCTAGAAGCTATTACATCAATAATCTCAGTAAGCTGAAGATGCAGTGAACGATAATCAAAGCTTTAAAGTTAAACCATCCAGCTCACAGAACCCCACATTACCAAAAATAGCCACCTGGGCTGCAAATCTCCGATAAGTAAAAATATGAAAGGTGTCAGATTAAAGTGGGTGTGAGGTTTTTCCAGAACTTACTGAAGGTTGAAGATTCAGTCAACGCATCTTTTTAGTATGAAACGTCTCTACATTCCTTTGAATGTATTTCGTTTCCGTGCTCTACTTTTTCTCCGCATGACTACGAAACATAAGATCTTACATACAATATTATTATTATTATTATTATATCCTTTAATTCCTAGAGGAAAATAGCGCTCAAGCTGCATGTCTCCATTGCCTTCGGTTTTCTGCGAACTTTTTCACCCCGCTCCAAGTCTGCCCACATGCGTTTTTTCGTTAATCAGGTTTAGGTATACTGAGTTGAGATTAAAAGGTCAAAAGTCATCAAAACAATTCACTAACTTATAGACAGATGTTAGCAACAAGATATCTAAGTTCTGAAGCAGGGTGAAAATCAATTACAGAATTCAAGATAAGTTAGGCGTTAGCAAGCAACAAGTTATTACATAATCAAGAAATTTGTAAAATAGCAATGATGACTAAGGAGAATAGGATGACTCCTCAGTGGGATTACGTAAGATACAAACAAATCATTAGAATTAGCTAGAGCTGTGTACCAAAAACTGATTAACGAAAAAAACCCACTTGACTGGTAAAAAAACAAATTTGATGTTAAAAACTACATATTAGTTTAGAGCTGATGATGACGAACTACTAATTAGTAAGGAACATATTTCATCTATGTTAACCTGACGACTTGAGCCGTATAGCTTATCATCAGATAATTGATTTATCGCAATATCCAGAGCTTGTACGATTCACAGCTGAGATTATCACTACTGTGTTGTAACAGTAAAAGTGTTTTTACAATTCTACAGACCACCAACCACTATAAATCATCCTAAGAAGGCTATGACAGGAATATGCCATTTATAATGTCACCACCTCACCACACTCTACCAAACAACTAGGAACCTACCTATCGGGAAAAACTTCGACACAGATTAAGCCAGTAAAGGATGACAATGGAAAGTCAGTCACCAAAGAGGCGGAGCAAAGAAAACACTGGGTTGAACACTTCAAAAGACTTCTAAATCGTCCGCCACCTACAACGCGCCCAACAATACCAACAACGGAAGCAGAACTACTAGTGAACATTGACCCCCTCCCCCACCCGGACGAAATCAGAAGTTCTGAAGACAATCAAGATGCTAAAAGCTGAAAAAGAAGCAGGACCAGATGGAATCCCGGCAGAAGCTTTGAAAATCGACCCAGAGACAACAGCGGACTTGATGACGCCATCGCTGGAGAAGGTGTGGAAAGAAAGAGGGCAAAGTACCTGAGGATTGGAAGAAAGGATACTTATTCAAACTACCAAAGAAAGGAGTCTTAAGTCAATGCAAAAACTGGCGCGGAATTATGCTCCTGTCCATCCCAAGCAAAATACTTAGCCGGATCATCCTGGAGAGAATCAAACACGCCAACCTGGATGAAAAACTTCGACCGGAACAAGCTGGATTCAGGAGAAACAAGTCATGTGTTGATCAAATCGCCACTCTACGGATCATCATTGAACAAAGCTTGGAATGGAAGTCACCTCTCTCACTCAACTTCATCGACTTTGAAAAGGCCTTCGACAGCGCAGTGTCGACCGAGAGGTCATTTGGAAACTACTTCGCTACTACGGGGTCCCATCGACAATTATACATCTCATCTCATCTCATCCCATCCAACAGTTATACGACAACGCTGCATGCCAAGTAATCCACAATGGGAAACTTACGGAAGCCTTCGAAGTGAGGACGGGAGTGAGGCAAGCTGGCTGTCTACTATCGCCAATGATCTTCCTGATTGCAGTAGATTGGATAATGCGACAGACAACGGGCAATGAGGAAACAGGCATAAAATGGACTCACACAAAAAGGGAACTTGGAGGATCTGCACTTCGCCGATGATGATATATGTCTGACTTCCCACAAACTGGAAGATATGCAAGTGGAAAGCAACAAGCTGGCAGAAGAAGAATCAAGGATAAGAGGGACTTCAGGTGAACATAGATAAAACAGAGGTGATAAAGATTCCTGACCAACAGCAACACCAACAGACAACAATCAGATAGGATAAATGGGAGGAACCTGAAAGAAACAACCTCCTTTACCTACCGAAATGGGAAGCATCGTTCCAACTACAGACCGACGGATCTGAAGAGGATATCAAAGCTAGAATGGGATAGATAAATTGAAACCAAGTGATAACACCTCCTTTTCATATAATTAAAGTTCAACCGATGACAGATTTGTCACATACTTATCAGGATTTAATGGGAATTGGTTTAATTGATAGTCGGAAGTACCGGATCCAAGGAATTTCAATCTAGTATTTTCTTTCGTCCACATAACTTCTCATTAGAACTGTGGATTGATTGAACTCCATTTATCATTATCAAATATATTGTCTGATATCTCCATAATTTGCCAAATAAAGTTCATTAATTTTTGTAGCTCTGCCGTTAATAAGACGAAAGAGAATACTCGATTGAAATTCCTTGGATCCGGTACTTCCGACTATCAATTAAACCAATTCCCATTAAATCCTGATAAGTATGTGACAAATCTGTCATCGGTTGAACTTTAATTATATGAAAAGGAGGTGTTATCACTTGGTTTCAATTTTTCTATCCCATTAAACAATATTTCGGACTAAGCAATTGATTCTCAGTTTGAAAATTTGTATGATCAGTTGAGTTCTCTAACTCCTTCCTCGACAGATGACCAAAGTTGGTTGAAAGTTAAATTTGTAGATGTTGCACACCAATTTCGTAATTCAAGTCGGAAACAAAGAAGCATTTTAACATCAACTCATTTTACAGCCCTAAAGGAATTATGTAATAGATCCGATATAGTTATTTTGAAACCTGACAAAGGATCTGGTGTAGTTGTGATGGACAGAAGTGATTATAAAACAAAAATGTTAGCCATCCTTAATGACAAAAGCAAATTCATAGCCGATGTTCCTTCGGATGATATCAGAAAATTGGAAGGAAAAGTAAATTCTCATTTAGTAAAACTTCGTGGCATGGACGTTATTGATAAACAGGAGTTTAATTCCTTGAAACCCATGGGATCTGATTTTCCAAACCTCTATGGATT